GCTGGCTGAGGAATTCTGGGAGTTGAAGTCCACAAGTCTTAAAGTTGCCAAGGTTGGACACCCCTGCACTAGATTATTCGGTACTTCATTTGTGAGCATTTAGAAAAGAATGCATTACTTGGCAGGACAGAATATCATAGGTTTAGCAAAAATAAATCATGGCAAGCCAACCTCAACTCTTTTTTTTTTTGTAAAGCTGACCACAGGAATGTGGTATGTATACTGTGCCTTAACTTGACTTGAGAAAAACACCTGACAAAATCTTCTGATGAGATTCCAGTACAGAAGAAGGCTGCAAAATGTGGGCCGGACTATGTTACCAACAGATGGATTCAATGGTTGAATAATTGTACAAAAAGAGGATGAGTGACCTGGATAGATCTGCCAAGGGCTGTACCACAGGACTCTGTTCTAGGCCCTATTTTGTTCAAGATATTTATAAATAAGTTGGATGAGGGGGGTGGAAAAAGAGGATTATCAAATCAGAAGAAAGCAGAAGGACAACAATTGTGACTATTCGAAAAATGGCCAGAAATTGGCCAGAAGAATTTAAAAAAATGAGAAGTACAGTTGGATAGGGGGGGAAACTTGCAACAAATGTCAAAAATAATAAAAGAAAGTTTCTTTCAACATATAAAAAACAAGAAAAAAGTCAAGAAAACAATTGGTTCACTAATGAGAGAAGGCATCAAGGAAATAACAGAGAGTGCAGAGAAAGCACTACTAATTGGCTCTATGCTGTATCAGGCCCCAGGAAATTGTTTCTTAGCTGTGCGGCAATCGCCATTGAACCAGGGTTGGTCGAAAGAGCTCCGACTCTTACCCATGCTAGATCAGAGGTAGGGAACTATGGTCCTTTTATGACTTGTGGACATGTCTGGCTCAGGAATTCTGGGAGTTGAAGTCCACAAGTCATAAGAAGGCCACAGTTCCCCATCCTATGCTAGATGGATAGGTAGAGAGAACGGCTGAAGAAGGCTGACTAGCTGAATGGAGGATGGCAAGGTCTGTTCGGGGGACCTGCTGTCCACAACAGCTGTATATACCTGAAGCCCCTCGTGGGTGGAAAGCATTTGAGTCCATTTCTCCTTTTTCTGACCATTTTGTTTTTATTTATCCCTTAGGATTATCCTTAGATGGGACAGGGTAGGGATTCAAAAAGGGAGCAACGGAGGGCATCAAAAGCAACCCATTGGCACAGTGAACACTCCTAGGATGGCTGTCAATGTGAAATCAAAGAATTGAGGCAGATAAGTTTCTTGATGAGTCAGTCAAGGAAGGCCTTTTGCCTGCCCAGTGTGAGAACTCTGCCGGGAGGTCATTAACATTTGTTTTCCAAATGTCATAGCTTTAAAAATGACCACACAATCCATATTGGCAACCTACAAGTATAAAAACCAGAAAATTTGTTCTGGTCCAAATTTATGGACATTTCTCCTAAATCTTTTGCCAGGTCAACAATGATTTATTTTTCCCTTCTCTAACATGGTATTCAAAGGCCAGCAGGGAGAGCAGATTGTTCCTGACTAAAAATAACAGTCCCTATTTTCTTTGGCTTTAAGAATGCTGCGGTTTATCGTCAAAAGGGAGGAAGAATATCTGGCTGGGAATAGTTATGTGAGTAAAAGCCAGCGAAAGGATCATCCTAACTGAATGCCAGCCTGATCCAACTGGTCAGCCAAACAGTCCCAATGGTGAGAGTTTGTGCAGCAGTACCAATGGTTGGCAACCACGTTTCAGCCGTACTCCAGGATTCTTTGCAAAATCAGAACTCAGATTAGGCACACAACTATGCAACGCAAAAGGACTTCTTCCCCTGTTGCCCCCATGATCTTATTTTTTCTTAAGGCGCCCTCTTATGAAGCTGGGAGGCCAATCATAGTGTCCCATAAAGGAGCTGAGCTGAGGCTTAGCCTAAAAGAGTTGAAGTGCAGCTGGAACCTAATTTTCTCCCTTGGACCAAAAAAGGGTGACATTGGCAGTTCTTGGTCCAGTAGCAGCAGCATATTTGCAATGGGCCAGTGACATGCATGACTACTGCTAAATACATAAAGCTAATCATTTGTTTTACTTTATGGCCATTAATGCGCCATAAACGAGCTTCAACCTTTTGATAAAAGCTATAATTTTGATTTTCTGATAGTTTATTTCCAGATTATCATTGTTGCAGAAATGGACTAAGTTCTCAGAGCTTTTTTGAGGCCTATTGATGTCTGAAGAGAACTACGGCTTCATCAGTGCAGAGTAGAAGGGTGATGCTACCATCCTCGGGTTTAGGGGATGGAACTTTGGGCCATGTGGACATCTTACCATACAGTTGACGTAAACACTGAAAAATGGGGGGGGGGTTTAAATTCCTCCCCCCTCTTTTGTGTTGTAACTGGCTTCGAGAACCGTTGCATTCTGCACCTGACCCTAAGAATCATATGGATTTCTAGGGAGTGAATTAAATTGAGCAGCTTACAATTCACTGATGGATTGACAAGGCTTCCAGCTTCTCCCATAATTTGGTCCTGCATACAGCATCAAAAGCTGTCTTAAGATCTATAAAGGTGGCATATAATGATACCATGTTGTTAAATATTTTTTGATAAATTGCTTAATTTCAGATACAGATATTGGGAGCTGCCCGGTTAAGTGCTCCATCTTTTGTACTGAGATCTTATTGCAAGACATCTAAAGTGATAAACTGTTCTCTCGTGGAAACTGCTCTCACTGAACTGTAGGGCCTGATCATTGCCACATAGTTTGGTGTGTAACACACAGACACACACACACACACACACAGACAGACACCTGATCTGGCTTTCAGAAAAGGATCAGAGAAAAACAACTGGGATAATCATGGGACTTCAAACCAAGTCCTATGAGGACATGTTAAGGAGCTAGGAAGTCCTGAAAAGAGAAAACTGGGAAGAGATATAACAGCATTCTTCAAATACCTAAAAAGATGTCATCACAAAAAACCAAAATTATAGATTTATGTTACAACAAGACAGCTTATGATTGAATGTTACATGACATGCATGCATGTTTAAGTTTAGACTTCTACATGGAGCAGAGAATTAGATTTGTTGGACCCTACATCTCCTAACTCAGGATTATTTTAAGTAGGCAATGCAACCTAATTGCTGCCTACACAAAATGACAATTTGTCTGTCCCCAAATGCTGCCTTCCATGGAGGTTCTTCAGCCTAAGTTGCCCCATCTACGGAGATGGTCTAACAACTGGGCAAGCAAGACCCACAATCCTCGGACTACTTCTATGGCATATTTTGTGCCTCCCAACATTTGATCACAGGATTTTAGGATTTATCCAAATAACTGATCTTCTACTAGTTCATATTTATCTCTTGCTCCAAGATAGTCAAAATGCTTACTTATTTGCATTCCACCTTTACTGTTTTTACAAATAACTCAAGGTGGTAAACACATCCAACACATCTTCCTCCTCGTATTTGCCCCACAACCACCACCTTGTGAGGTGGTTGGACTGAGCAAAAGAGACAAGTCCAAAGTCATCCAGCCAGCTTTCATAACTAAGGCAGGACTAGAACTCACAATCTCCTGGTGATTGGCCCAAGTCACCCAGCTGGCTTTCATGGCTAAGGCGGGACAAACCTACCATCTCCAGGTGATTGGCCCAAAGTCAGCCAATTGACTTTCATGGCTAAGGATGGATTAGAACTCAACATCTCCGGGTAATTGGCTCAAGTCACTGTGCAAAAATTCACATGGTGGCAGGTAAAAGGCTAGTATACTGGATTTTACCAGCACCTGCCTGGTACTAAAGCTGCTCCTCAGAGGGCGGCATAATCAAGGTAATTTGGGGGACAAAAGAAATTTATTATTATTATCAGTACCCAATTTCCTAAGGATTTGACCAATTATTCACAATTTGTCTCTGATTTTGAAATTCACGCAAATGAAATCGAGCCTCATTTAATGTATAATTAGTTGCCTGTGAACTTTGTATACACATACATTAATTCCCTACAAGACTCAGAAATGCCTAAAATCTTACTTACTAGGAAGTCTTCTTCACAGTAGACCTTTCCATTAACATTGTAGAAGGCTTTCCCTCGTAATCTTCTCCCTGTTAAAAATATTGCACTGTCAGACCTTTCATATTTTGGGGGTATTACAAAAGGGGATTAGGGGCAATACAATGGATAGGAACGGAGGGCTTCAGGCATTTCTGCTCAAGCTACAGTTGTGGGTATAAAAGCAATTTTTCACATAACAGAAGGGGAAAAGTGCCAAATATAATATATATGCAGTCATAGAAATGTATGTAATTCAGGAAGTTTAAGTTTAATTAGAAGTTAATTAAAACAATTTCATCTTCTAGCTTTCTGGGACTCGGCCGAGATGTTAATCGGCTTCCGAAAGCTTGTACTGCTATAATGCTTCAGAGCAGGGGTGTCAAACTTGATTTCACTGAGGGCCACATCAGGGTTGTGTCTGACCTTGGGGGGGCCAGGGTGGGTGTGGCCAGCTTGATGTCACTCATGTCAGAAGCGTCTGTGGCGGCCTGAGTGCTCTGCCAGCAAAAATGGGCTCCTGAGCTCCATTTTCGGCTGTGACAGCCTCCTGCAATCCTCTGCCAGCGAAAACGGAGCTCAAGAGGGCTCCCGGGCCCCATTTTCGTGGGCAGAGCTCTTGGGCCACCACAGGTGCCCCCAACAGAAGTGATGTCGAGCTGGCCACGCCTATCCGGCCCCCACGGTCAAAGAAATCAAGTTGGACACCCCTGGACTATATTACCACTTCTAGAAGCCTCTGTCCCTTTACATGGACTTTCCGAATGTACTATTGGCCCAAAATCAGTCCTCTCCCTGCATCCTGAGATTGTAGGCTTTTGGAATTGGGATGGAGCCATGTCAGACGGCCCTCCCAACTCACAGACAAATGGAACAAGCATTAGCCTCAAAGAGGGGCGTTTGAAAGAGATACCCTCATTGTCCATAAACATCTTACACAGCTCTTACAACAACAGCAAGTAAAACCCAGCAAGAGCCTTCCACTCCTAAACCAACCATGAGCAACCAAAACTGCCAGAATACCAGGCTTCAAAAAATATAGAGAACGCCCCCTGCATCACAACCTCACAAGGCTCAACTTAAAAGGGTGATAAAAGAGACCGGTATAAAATGAAAAGAGGCATTTGGGCACATCCAACAGCAGTTAATAGGCACAGCATGTGCAAGAATACATTATCTTGCTTTGGTATTATATTGCCACCTATTTTTGCACTAAACTGCCTTGAGCTCCCTATTTAATACGGTACCAGTGTCAAATGGGAGAGCTGTTTTTGAACCCTATATATGGTAGAAGACTTATGTATGACACAGAATTCTATTTAATCGACAGTTCATATATGCTCGGTAAGCTGAAGTTGCAAAGGATTCCAAGAATTCAGCCCAGGCAAGCTGCCAGGCATAGATTTTATTATAGCTGAGGTTCTTTAAAATAATTTGGACTGGTGGACTCTGGTATTAGCCTTTCTGTTTACATACATTTATCATACCGTGTTGATTCCCAAAGACTGAGGGCCTTGCCTTAACAGTTCCTGTTTACAAGGAAGGTAGAATCTTTCAGTTGATCATGTCCCATCAGTCTGTTGAGCACTCTGCAAAATATATGTGAGAAACCTATCCCTAAAGTTTTAGGACTGGTTAGACATAGATAATTAGTCAAGGAACAAGCTGGATTTAAAACTGTGGCTCTATTTTTGATCACGTTGTTATTCTACAACACTTGGTAGAGAAATTATCTTCAAAATCACACATGAAGCTAGATGCAGCATTCACAGATTTCATAGTGGCCCATGATTTAAACTTCCACTCTAATCTTTGACATAAACTCCAAAATTCCAACATAGACAGAAGAGCATGTGAGGTACTAATACCACTTTATATAGCCTTAGTAAGACCACACCTAAAGTACTGCATCCAGTTTTGGTCACCACACTATAAAAAAGAAAATTGAAACTCTGGAAAGAGTGCCAAGAAGAGCAACCAAGATGATGAGGGGGCTGGAGGCTAAAACATATGAAGAACGGTTGCAGGAACTGGGCCTGGCTAGTCTAGGGAAGAGAAGGACCAGGGAAGACAGGAGAGCAGTCTTCCAATATTTGAGGGGCTGCCACAGAGAGGAGGAGGGGGTCAAGCTATTATCCAAGGCACCCAAAGGCCAGACAAGGAATAAAGGATGGAAACTGATCAAGGAGAGATTCAACCTGGAAGTAAGGAGAAATTTTCTGACAGCAACAGCAATCAACCAATGGAACAGAAATTGCCTTCGGAAGTTGTGGGAGCTTCATCACTGGAAGCTTTCAAGAAGAGACTGTCAGAAATGGTACAGGGTGTCCTGCTTGGGCAGGGGGTTGGACTAGATGACCTACAAGGTCCTTTCCAACTCTGCTAACATTCTGTTATTTTGTTATTCACCTGTCTACAAATTCTATGATAACTCAACTCTAAAAACCAGATGCAACTACTCTCAGAATCACTATCCCAAGAAAACTGCTGTTTACAGAGTTCAGTAGGGATACCTTCATTATTTAAGTATTATATCAAATTTTTAGGACTTTCACACGATTCCCCCAACCTGGGAAACCATGATAGAGCATTCAGCGCCCTGGATGAAGATTGTAATGCAGAAGCCGTAGAAATTAAGTACAGCACAGTAAAACATGCTGGTATTCACAAAGTACCTTAAACACACCCAGGAATTAAATATTCCAGCTGAGCAAGTCAAGTCATCCAAATATCTCAGCACTGTATTTCAAGCCACAACCAAATGTAGGCTGCCTATGAAATATGCCATTCAAAAAGCCCTGACACAGTTCTTGAAACTTTCTTTTATACTCCATGTTCCTGCTGCATATTTAACACAACCAGCCCGACTCTGGGTGCAATTACTGTTTGGGGTTCAGGTAGGTGCACACTATTCTTCTTTTCTCCTTTGGATTAAATTCCTCAAGAGTTTTTTTTTTTCAAGTTTCATATTATGTCTCAAACATGACACAATGTCAAAGGTAAGTTGTCCGTTAGCAAGACTGAATCTATTACCCTGGATTTTTTCACATATAGGACTAAATTTCTCCCTGTCATGACTAAACCCACTTTTTGACAAATTTATTTTCTCTCGGGTCAAGGCACTACACAAAAAAATGGCAACTTCTGGGTTTTTCCTTAGCTCACGAGAATCAAATTTACCATCCATTTTGTATTGGGACTTGCCATGAATTCATAATTCCACACTTAATTAAATATCCTGATCGGTATTACCTAAAACTTTCAGATTCAAATTATTTCAGTTCCTTAAATGTGCCCAAATTTTATCAACTTATAATCTGTTCACCTAATTGGTGAAATAATGCTATGTATTTTATGAATGTCAGGTATTCTACGGACAGGTCACAATAAAGATTCTTGTTTCCAATGCTGAGGTCCTACAATCGACATTGCTTAAGAAGAGACACTAAGTTGGGGAAGATTACTATAAAGGAACATTCCAGAAGTCAAACTAGAAAGTTTCTCCTGGCAGACGATCTTCCTAGGACATGCAGGCATCTTTGGGCAATGAGAAGTTAAAAAAACAACAACCATATGTCAGCTGGTGCTCCGTTCAAAATCCAAGAAAGAAATACTTAAGACTCTTGTAATTAGAGAAAAGATATCTTTTACTGGAAGTCAAGAGGTAGCAACAAGAAAATTCTGAATCTGGGGAAATAGGCACATACATCACATATATCAAGGGAGTGAAATGTTCCCACCCCCAATAGTTCAAACGGTTCTTCCAATTAAAAGTTGTGAACTTCATCATGTGGACATCTCCAGGTGGTGATGATTAGTTGACCTTGGCTTACTCAGATAAAGGTTTGCAGTTGCGCAGAGAAGAGAAAGCTAAGCAAGAAATAGAAACCCTCCTCAGTTTATACAATATCAGTTAGTAACACCTCCAGCTCACTTCCCATACTTTCCCCCTTTCCTCCCCCCGTTACTCATGACAGCCAGAAAGAAGCAAAGCAAAGGAAGATCTTGAAGGCTAACACCATACCTCATGACAACTATATCTTATGACTGTGTTGAAGTCACCATAAGATCTAGGCTGAGCTGAAGAAGCCATAAGTCAGAGCTCTCCAAACTTGGCAACTTAAAGACTTGTGGACTTCAACTCCCAGAATTCTGGGAATTGAAGTCCACAAGTCTTAAAGTTGCCAAGTTTGGAGACCCCTGTCGTGAGAGGACCAGGGCTACAGCATCGACTTAGGTTTCAAAGTTATCCTCAGCTTTGATCAGTTCGCACCACCACCTCTCTGCTGCAGGGTCTACTCCACGTAAATGGTCTACTATTCCTTCTACTTCCCCTGGGGAATGGGACTTTTATAGTAGTCCTTGACTTATGACTGACAAGTTTGAAGTTACAGTGGTGCTGACCAAAGTGACTTATAATAACCTGGTCCAAAGCCTTACAATCAAAATTGAGGTGTTGGGAAGTCCCCCTGTCTGCATTTATGACTTTCAGGGGGCCCTTTAATCCCCCCTCCCCATGTCCTTTAGGCCCCCTGGATTCCACGCTCCTCCATCTTCCTGCTCCCTCTTCTGAGCAAGCATGCCCACCTGAGCAGGTTTCTTCCCCAGGTTCTGCACAGCCGTTTCCTTGTGAGACCTGGGAAAAAATGTCCTCTCGAAGGGCAGCGGCTGCACGTGGCTGTGGTTTCCTGCTTACAGCGCTGGCGCTTCCTGCGACGGCAGCTGCGTGTAGCGCTGCCGGCTGCGGCCTCTTGCAGCCCCCCTAAGCTGCGTGGTCTTGCAAGGCAGGCATTTTGAGGGGAGTCAAAAGGCGGAGACGAGGGAGGAGGCTTGGGGGAGCTGAAGAGAAAGCCGCCTCTTATCTTACCAAGGTTGCTTAGGTTTTGGGGAGGGGGGAGCACTTACTAAGCCATGTATAATTCTTGGTTAGTGACGGCAACAGGATTATGCAAGTTCCCATTTGTGGCTGCACTGCTTAGCCATGGAAGTTCCAGTCCCAATTATGGCACTTGTAAAATGTGTGTGTGTGTGGGGGGGGGGGGAATTGCCTGGA